TTATCAAATTTCGAGACGTGAGCCCGGGGGTCGGGTTGGACCAATTTCGGGATTCTTGATGTAATTTGATTATTTTCGCATGGGCTTCGTTCCCTTAGCATATATTGATGTTATAATTCTGATTTTGGATAGATTCGACGCGAGTTGAGGCCGAGTCGAGAGGCAAGGGCGTCGCAGAGTAGTATTTCATCTGGTTTGAGGTAAGTAACCATTGTAAATCTAGACCTGAGGGTACGAAACCCCGGATTTTCGTACTGTTTTGATAAATGAGGTGACACACATGCTAGATGACGGGCGTGTGGGCGTGCACCAGTAGGGATTGTGACTTGGTCCGTCCCGTGGCGATTGTATAGTTGCATATTTTGATATATTGTATATGATATCCATCTGTTTTAGAAATTGGTTTGTTAACTTCGGCTGAATGCCATGTTTAGGGCCTTTGTGCCGACCTGTTTAGACCCTTAGGGGTATTTTTACTAATTTCCTCACTCCATTTGATTTGAAAGCATATCCTCAGTCATGTTTTACCTGCTTATTGTTTAATCCGATTTCATTACTCTACTTCCTATTATATGAAAACTGTTTGGGCTGAGTTTTCCCTGATTTTCACCAAATGTGCCAGAGTGGCCGTGAGGTTAATGACTAAGAGAGGTTGAGGACCTAATGGTGAGGATTATATATATATATATATATATATATATATATATATATATATATATATATATATATATATATATATATATATATTATGGATCGGTCTGCATGCCGCAGCGATATTATAGATATATTATGGATCGGATGCACGCCGCAACGATATTTATATGGATCGGGCTGAACGCCGCAGCGATATGTATTAGGTCGGGTTGCGCGCCGTAGTGATATGACGCTTGGGCTGTAGGAGCCCCTTCGGAGTCTGTACACCCCGAGTGAGCGCAGTCGACTATGTATTACGGATCGGGCTGCACGCCGCAGTGGTTATTATTATTATTGTGAGATATCTATTGAGCCGAAGTGCTAAGTGTGAGTACTAATTGACAAGAGCTGAGTCATGAGTGACTGAGAGGCTTACCTGAGAGGCTATACTTATGAGTGATACCTTGCCCGAGGGGCTTGTTTAGGACATTTTGCTGCTTTCACTCTTCTTTTACACTGAGCCTCTGTTGAAAATGTTGAATAAATGTCTTTAAAGAATTTTAATTGAAATTGGAGTTTTACGAGATAACTGATTATTGAACTGCAGATTTGACTTGATATTTCTGATGAGATTTCTTATATGATTTTCAATGCTCGCCACTGCACTCAGACATTATTTACTTTAGTTACTTACTGAGTTGGCGTACTCACGTTACTCCCTGCACCTTGTGTGGAGATCCAGGTACCCGTGCATCAGAGTAAGAGCTTCCAGCACTCTCAGAGTTTTATCCGGAGATCGCAAGGTAGCTGCACGGCGTTCGCAGCCCTGCCTTCCTCCTTCCTATCTTAGTACTTTGTATTTCAGACTCATTTTGTATTAGTTAGACAGTGTTTGGATGTATTTAGAGGCTCATGACTAGTGACACCAGATTGGGGCTGTGTTGGTATATTTTTGTACTTATTTCGCGTATTTCCTTAATATTATAAAAATTGAAAGCTTTAATACTTAATCTGTCTAGAAAAGTGAATTTATAAATGATCTCTGTATTGTTCGTGTTGTATTTTGGGCTGGCCTAGTACTGCGATAGGCGCCATCACGACCGTGAAATTAGGGGTCGTGAGAACAACAGTACCCAGTAAGTGCCAAGACTAACCTCGGTCGAGTAGTGACGAGGTCAGATCAGGGCCCTACTGGTATATATATATATATATATATATATATATATATATATATATATATATATATATATATATATATATATATATAATAAGACTGAACAAAAATATCGCAGTAAATTAAAAGACTGAAATTTAACCAAAAGGAAATACAGAAGGATAACGGTACAATACACAGGAATAACAACAGGGGATCTCCCGAGATACCATCTCATAGTCCCAAACGTAAATGTGTAGGGGATCTCCCAGAATACCGTTCCGTAGTCCCAAAGTAAATATGCAGGGGGATCTCCCAGAATACTATCCCATAGTACAAAAATAAATATGCAGGGGGATCTCCCGGAATACTGTTCCGTAGTCCTAAAGTAAATACGCAGCTCAAACAACGAAAATAACAGTTACAACAGAGATCCCATAGTTTAGACTAAGTACAAGTCGAGAGCAAAATATGAAAATCCACTAAGCATGCTGCACAGAGTTAAGATAAGTGTTTAAGACACGTAGACATGTTATTCTAGGCTAAACATGATAATTACACATGCTGGTATAACTCAAATAAGAATAAAACAGGTTATTACTCGGTAAAAGTCGGATTTTACAACAAATAGCCCGTGTACGCACTCGTCACCTCAAATACATGGCGCTCACATATCAAAACAGTATCAAATCCTAAGCGGAGTTTCCCCCACACAAGGGTAGGCAAGCCACTTACCTCAAACCAAGCTCAATCACTCGATATCAATGCCTTTTCCACGAATATCCGACTCTGAATGGCCTAAATCTATCCAAAAGCATTATATATATAATAAATATCACAATAAGAAACTAATCTAGCCAATGAAATCAAGGCTTAAGCAGGAAATTAGAAAATCGCCCCAAAAGGTCGACCTGGGACCACGTCTTGGAATCGGGTGAAAGTCACAAAATGTGAACACTCATTCACTCACGAGCTCACTCGTACCAAAATTATCCAAAACCGATGTCAAAATCCCCATCAAAACCCAAAATCTTAGTTGAAGAACTTCTTCCCAAGTTTCAAAATTTTCAACACAAATCCTAAGTTAAATGTTAAAATTAATTATAGATTAGTGGGATATAATCAAAATCAAGTGTAGGATCATTACCCAATTGATGTCTCTGAAAATCCTCAAAATCTCATCTAAATTCGAGCTCCCAAACACAAGTTTTGATAAAAATGGCTAGCCCTCGTTTTTGAAAATTTATATTCTTCCCAGGTGCTCACACTACGCGACCGTGGAACATCTAACGCCATCACGTAGAACAAAAATTCCAACCGCTCAAAACATGCTATGTGAACACGGATATCTATTCGCTAACGCGTATCACTACCAAGCTTAACTACGCGATCGTGTAATACTCCATGCGACCGCGTAGAGTAAGTCCACTCACTGCCCAGTCTCCTCTCTTCTTCACTACGAACGCAAAGAGGGCTATGCGTTCGCGTAACAATGGCCACACAAACTTCGCGATCGCGGACGAGCTCCTGCGATCGCATAGAACAAAAAGAAGACTGCCTAATCAGGGTTTCGCGATCGCGTCTCCTCCTACGCGATCGCATAAGAGAAAACTAGTAATTGAAGACACCAGCAATTTCTGCAATCTTTCAACTCCAAAAACTTGCCCGTTAACCACCCGAAATCCACTCGAGGCCCCTAGGACCTCAACGAAACATACCAAAAAGACCTAAAACACCATAAGAACTCATTCGAGCCCTGAAATCACATTAAGAAAAAGCTAAAATCACAAATCACCCTCCAATTCAAACTTAAAGAACGTCAAACTTCAAATTTTCACAATCGACGCCAAAACCTATTAAATCACGTCCGCTTGACCCCAAATTTTAGACAAAAGTCATATTATCATATTCAACATTACGGACCTACTCCAACTTCCGGAACCGGAATCCGACCCCGATATCAAAAAGTCCACTACCGGTCAAAATCTCCAAAAATTCAACTTTCGCCATTTCAAGCCTAATTCAGCTACAGACCTCCAAAACACAATCCGGACACACTTTATGTCCAAAATCACCCAGCAAAGCTAATAGAACTGACGGAGCTCCATTCCGGAGTCACCTTCACACCGTTCCGACTAAGGTCAAAATCCTAAGACTTAAGCTTCTGTTTAGGGACTAAGTGTCCCAGAACATTCCGAAACCAAAAGCAAAACCTCCGGCCAAGTCACATAAGTAAAAAAAAAATACGGGGATGCAATTAATAGGAGATCGGTGCTATTACTCTCAAAACGACCTGGCGGGTCGTTACAGCCTAGATTATATATTTTTAAAAAAATATTTTGCTAGCTAATCAAACACTAAAAAAGAAAAAATCACTTATTTTGCAAGAAAATATTTTTTTTATAGTAAATATTTTCCTTACCAAACACTCCCTAAGTTAAGAAACTTTATCTCTCAATAAGTTGATAAACTAGAGTTGCAAAGAGCAACCAAAAAGAAAATGTGAATGTTTCTTCGCAAAATCACATAACCACACCCAAGCACTGTGTCAGCACCGAATGAATTACACATAACTCCTAGTTATCTTATTCTCTATGCAGGTGAAATATTTTTTAGTGAGCTAATAAATTTCTTTTGTCCATGTTATCTGTCGAACAAATTCAACCATTCATACATAAAATTCCTCCGATGGGCCATATTTTTCAGCTAAATTTTATTATCCACTATAATGGTGGGAGGAGAGGGAGAGAAATGGGAGGGATTCTGATGGTGATGGTAGGGAAAATGAGAAAGAAAAAAGAGAAAAGGACAAAAAATAAAAATTTACATTGAAAAAGAAATATTAATAAAGAAAAGTATGAGTGAATTATTTAATTACGTGACATTTTTATTGAGGGGGTCCCTTAATAATGGAAAGCGGCTAGAGTTGGGGTTATTCTTGTCTACCTTCTTAACAGTAGAGACGTATTTGTATCGATAGTGAAATATGGAATAAACGTGGACAATTCGCTAAAGTAGAGGGTAAATATGACTTTTTTTCCAAAAGAAATGTGATTGTGCTTCCCAAAATCACATGACCCCACCCAAGCGCTCTATGAGCACCTAATGAACTATAACTCATATAACTCCTAGTTATCTTGTTCACTATATAGGCAAAATATTCTTAAGGATAATGTATTCACACCTCGAGCAAAATTCTATTGTACATATTATTTTTCTAACAAATTCAACCATTCATATATAAAATTCCTTCAACACGGCCGGACTCGATAATTTCACAATATCTTATACATATACTAATCATTGAAAATACATCCATAGAAGCAGACTGGCAAACATCACACAACATTATTTATTTCACACGCTGGCTAGCTAGAACGAGCGAATACTGCCAAATAGTCATCAGGCAACACAAACACAAACATTAATTTTATTTATATATATATATATATATATATATATATATATATATTCAACATAGATCTTCTATTTCTTGAGAAGGTGACCCTCTACATCTTTGGTGATATCAATGACTACACCCATGAAAGCAAGGGGCTCAGGGGTATCTTCAGTTTTTTTCTCGTACACAAATGTCCATGTAGTCCACTGGTCTTCAATAGATATGCTAATAGTGAAGGAATTATACAATTCTAATAAATCTCCTTCAATTACTTTCCAAGTGCCTGATTTCTTCTGAGGATCGGTGGCTTCAATTATATGCTTCATAAACTTCTCTCTTCCATCTATAATCATTACAAAAATAATGTTCAACTGACCAATTTCTCATAACAGATATAAATATTTACAAAATAATATCTTCACATTTCTTTTCTGCCTTTGTTTTTTAATTTTCATTTTCTACAAAAATTATCCGAATGGAATTATTTTTATGAATCTCAATAGAACATATATTAAGCACCGATAACAGTATAATGTGATTTATAAATAATAATAACAATTTATGAAACTGTTGAGTGATAAAGATTAATAATAATGTCAAAGCGTTAGTTGGAGCAAGCAAAATAAAATAACAGTTAACATAGTTTTAACTGAGAAAATGACTTCCACTTACAAGTGAAGAGAATTTATTTTCCTTTCTCAAAACATTTCTTGAAAAATAACCTCCGTAATTTTTATATATAGAGAAAGAGAGGCAGGTGGGGATGTGTGTTACCTTCGTTATATATCTCGCTAGCAACCAAACCAACCTTTCCGATTTCACCTTCATTAATCTAAAAATGTTTGATTTTATTAGGGGTTATGTTGGGTATAAGATGAGTATTAATGTGAAAAATATTATAAACAGAATGTCCTTCACACTTCACCTCCATGGAAGCAATCAACTTTCCTTTCACACCCATATTTTCTTCTCCTCAGAATAGCAATAAGTTGTGAAAATTAAGTAAGTGGTGAGAAAATGTTCATATTTTGAAGGCTTTATATAGATTTTAGTTAGCTTTGAAAAGCTTGCGAGTGATGCAAACCTTTATCCACCACATATCTATATTGTGTATGTAAAAAGCAATATCTTTATCAGACAAGTGATCAAGTTTTAGTTAAATATGTTGCACGTGTTTTCTATTACAATAGCAATAACAAATTCAGTGTAATCCCAAAAAGTAAGGTCTGAAGAGGGTAAAGTATACGCAGACTTTGGCCCTACCTTGTGAAGGTAGGGGGTCTGATTCCGATAGACCCTTAGTTCGAAAAATGAAAAAGAAGCAGACACAACAAATAATAACTACAACAAGATAAGGTAGTAAGTGTGTTGCATGTGTTTTCTATCAATAAAAAATGTATAGCAGAAATATAAACTATTGTAAAATACCAATTGATCTTAAAATTAATGCAATATTTGTTTAAATGATAAAAAATGAATGTTACTACGTTGATACAGCAGCTGAAATCAATATTTTCCAAACATGCAAAGATGATGAATTTGATTAAGTATTCGTATTATAAATATTTTATTATATGAAATACATATATTCTAACTGTTGAATTTCGCCTAATATTTCTTTGTAAATGATATTCTTGATATATGTATTCCTTCTGTCGCATCGGTGCTCTCTCATGATTAAAAGCTGTTGTTAACATTAAAAACTATCTTGAAAGTGTAACATATATATTATTCCCTACGCGAAAAATCTTGTTATGCATAATATCTTGTACTGACCTAATTAAGGATTCTTTGGACAGTTTTAGAAAAATAATGTGATTTCTTTTAAATTACAGAAATATAATAATTAAGATGTTATATGCAATGTATCTTGTGCTAACCTAATTAACAGACTGTTTAAACAATTTGTTTTTTGGTGACTTTTTCAAAAACTACAGAAATATTACAAATGCTAAACGAAAGAGCAGTTTTATGCATATTTTATTAGAACAAACATAAAAGGCCCTATAGTAAGGAGATGATTTAACATTTAACAAGTCTGAGACTTTGCCACATTTTTTGGTACGTCGCAAACCAAATAGAGTTATATGCTCCCTTCGCATTTCACGTAGACGGTCAAACCCTTTTAAGATTAATTAATATAGATTGATAAAGGAGGTAGAATTGTCACCAAGGGAATTCATAAAATAAAATAAAAATAAAATAAAAACACCCTAAAAAGTTAACCACCTTTAATATATATACCTAAAAAGAATTTAAATCTTATATACGTAGTATAATTTCTCAACCACGATGAGATAGTGCAATTAACACCTCAACTTTAAGGCATTATAAGGAATCCTATCTCATGAAAACTGAAAAGAGAGTTTAAACGTGATAAATGGTCAAACCAATACATAAAACCAGACGCTTGCAACTCCTGATTTAACTCTGAATTCAAACTTTTAGGATAGTCATATCAGGTGTTAGTAATTGAGTTCTGAATTTAATTTTTATAGGTATGTAGTTGATTTTTTAAAATAAATTAGGATTTAGATTAAAGCTACTGAGTTTGCAATAACCTTATAGTGTGGTCCCTACGTATGGGTTGTTTAAAATAAGAAACCTAGAAAGAAAGCTGAGGCTTTAGTTTTCTTAATTGTTTGCCCCATAGCATATATTAAAAAAAGCGGAATTAACCTAAATAACTATCCACATAAACTCTTAAACTAAAAATAGTTGATAGATGTACAATATATGTATAATTCATTAATAATATGTATAATCTATGTATACAGACTAAGAAAAGTAATGTAACGACCCGACTGGTCATTTTGAGCAATTTCGCCCGGTTCGGCAGTTTCAGGTCACGAGTAGCTTCATATTATGTGTATCGAATTGCGTGCATGGTTTGGGTTCTGTTTGCGGATGAATTGGAGTCGAATTGGAAGAAGGAAACTAGTTTTGAAAGTTTAAACAGTGAGAATTTGATCGGAATTGGACTTTTGAGTAAACGGCCTCAGAATGGGTTGTGGGTGATCTCAACAGCTTCGTATGGTGATTTTGGAATTAGGCGCGCGTCCGGATTCAGATTTGGAGGTCCGTAGAGTAATTTGAGGCGCTTCGGCGAAAGTTGGAAATGTTGAAGTTTTGAAAATGGAGAAGTTTGACCCATAGTTTACTTTTGTGATATCGGGGACAGAATGCAGTTCCGAGAGTTGGAACAGCTCCCTTATGTCATTTTGGACTTGTCTGCAAAATTTGGCGTCATTCCGGGTTGGTTTGATAGGTTTCGGCACGAGTTTTGAAAGTTGGAAGATTGGAAAGTTCCTAAGTTCGATCCATGGTGTGATTCGTTGTTTCGGCGTTGTTTGATGTGATTTAAGACCCTGAGTGAGTCCATGTTAGGTTATATTACTTGTTTGTGCGCTTAGACGGGGTCCCGGGGGCCTCGAGTGTGTTCCGGGTCGGCTACGGGTCATTTTCCCTTATTTTTGAACTGCTATTTTCTGGTGTTTGATATCCTCCTTCGCGTTCGCGAAGAGTCTCTGCTGGTCGTCTTAATTTTCCTTCTTCGCGTTCGCGTAACACGCCTTGCGTTCGCGAATCTCTGTCTCTCCCTTCATCGCGTTCGCATCTGTCATTCGCGTTCGCGTAGTTAAGCCATTCCACTCTTCGCGTTCGCGTACTAGTTCACGCATTCGCGAAGAGCAATCTTGGGCCATTAGACTTTCCTTCTTAGCGTTTGTGTTCGCGTATGTGTTGTTGCGTTCGCGAAGCACACCAGGGCAGCCTTCATTTTTCTTCTTCGCAAACGCGATCCTTCCTCCTCGTTCGCGATGCACAAATGCATGGGCAGACAGAATATATCCCAAAATCGAGGGTTAGACCATTTTATTCATATCTTGGCTTGTGGAGCTCGGTTTGAGCGATTCTTTAAGGGTTTTTCACACAAATCGATTGCGTAAGTGTTCTTCGCCTAGAATCTAACATATTCCATGATTTTGTCTTTATTTTCATCATTTAAATTGTGTTTTGAGTTGAGGAAAATGTTGGTTTTGAAAGAAAATTTCTAAAATGAAAAATCGTGATTTGAGGGACCAAATAGTATCGGAATTTGATAAATTTTGTATGGTTGAACTCATATCGGAATGGGTATTCGATTTTTGTAAAATTTGTCGGGTACCGTGGTGCGGGCCCGGAGGTCGACTTTTTGACCGATTTTTGGATTTTATTAAAGATTGAGACTTTATGATGCAGAATAGTTTCTTACATGTTTTATTTGTGCTTTGAAGTTAATTTGGTTAGATTTGAGCCGTCCGGAGGTCTTTTCACCCGAAAAGTGCATTTTAGAGTATCGGTTTGTCGTCTTTGAGGTAAGTATCTTGCCTAACCTTGTGTGGGGGACTTCCCCTTTAGGATTTGAGTCTTCTATGCTAATTGTAGTCCGTGCATGCAAGGTGAACATGTGTGGTCGGACTTATTTGTGGGAAATTTACCTTTAGGGATTCTTAGGTCCTTATGTTCACTATGTGGGAAGTAATCCGTTATGATTGAGTTTCCTAATTGCTTAAATTACCTCTAAATGCTCCATATGATGTTGTTATCTTTCCTCTAACTCTTACTTTTTAGTTGCCCTAATTTGCCTTAATTGAAGTGATTGCCTTCCTTATTGTTTTGATACTTCTTGATTGTGAGTCCCTCTATGACTTCGTGCAAATATGTTACATGTCCAATTGTTGTGGTTACCGGTGTAGTTATCACATGCTATTTGTGTCTCGTTGTTTCATTAAGGTTATTGTGCTTCTTGGTTTCTCCGTGATCCTTATTATGTACTATTCATGCTTAAATTGATGATTATTCATGTTGAACAAGACATATGATATTCTCTTGGTAATTGACCATTGTTGAGTACTGACTCAAGTTGAGATCTATATTGATTGGTTATTGTTGATTCCCTTGCCGGGCTGTAATTGTTTCTATTGTTGATTCCCTTGCCGGGATGTTATTGTTTATGTTGTCGATTCCCTTGCTGGGATGTGATTGTTTCTATTGTTGATTCCCTTACCGGGATGTTATTATTTTTATTGACGAAGAGTGTAAAGCATGAAGGTGATGCCGTGCATGATATTGTGAATGAGTCTTAATGCACGAAGGGTGATGCCGTGCCGATATTGTGAGTGTTAATGCACGAAAGGTGATGCCGTGCCATATTCTGCGAGAGTAAAAGCACGAAGGGTAATGCCGTGCCACATTATTGAGAGTAAAAGTACGAAGGGTGATGCCTTGCCACATTATTGAGAGTAAAAGCACGAAGGGTGATGTCGTGCCATGTTATGAGACAGTTAAAGCACGCAGGGTGATGCCGTGCCGTTTTTGTTGATTTCTATGGTGAGGATGAGAATAAAAGCACGAAGGGTGATGTCGTGCGTTTGTTACTGTTTTTACTATTTCTGTTTGTTCCAAAGTTGATATTTACCTTGCTTCTCAGCTTATTAGTAATATCGTGATTTAAAATAAAGGAATTTATAATACGCTACTTGTATGATCTTTTCTTTTTATTTGAACTCTCCGTAATTATATATATATATATATATATATATATATATATTTCAATACTTCAAATTTCAGTAATTGTTATATTTTTAATTCAATTAGTTTCTAAATTAAACCTCTTTAAACCGTCTGAGTTGTATTTTACTTAAAAAGGAATTTCTACTAAGTTGTAATTTTTTAAATCTCATGTTAAAGGTAATAATTCATTCGATGTTGTGTTGTGACGACCCGGCCAGTCGTCTCATGAGTTACCGCCCCATTTCTCCCCTTTTATGCTTCCTTATGCTTCGTCATCCGTGTCATGTGCAGTCGAGTTGAGTTGGACTGGTGTTGGTAGGAAATGAGACACTTAGTCTCTTTAAGAAAGTTTTGGTTTGGAAAAGTCAACCGGATGTTGACTTGTGTGTTACGGGGCTCGGATGTGATTTCCGGTGATTGGGTTAGCTTCGGGAGATGATTTGTGACTTAGGAGTGTG